ACGTCTTTCTTTTTTCTGTATTCCTCATGCGATGAAACCTTTCAAGGTATCTATTCTAGTCTCTCCTCTCTTGCATTGCCCTGTAGAGCTTGCCTCATCATATATTCCCCTTTTCCATTCCCCCATTCCTAGAACAAGCCCAAAGAAGACACTGATCTATGGTAGGACCCCTCCCCCCTCAACCACCCTGATTTCTAGCCTACCATCTATATCCTCCCTGGTTACCTTTTTTTTTGTCCATTTGCCTCAAAATCTCCTCCCTGGGCCAACACTCTCCCACTTCCCAGATGCCAGTTGCCCCGAGGAATTCCAACACCCTCTTCCTAAGGTAGGATAAGTAGACTTTTCAATTACCAAATCCCCCAGACCACAGTAAACACAAGATCCCCATCTCCATTCATAGACCATCTCTCTTCACACATAGGAGCATTCATCAGTGGAACACCCACCTTCAAAACAAGACCTCCTTCCTTTCCTTCCTTTTTCAATCTTTCCTTCCTACTCCTTACCTACAGTCCTATAGGCTCTTCTCTTTCTAAAGCCACAGGAGTCACCCACCCCTCATTGTTAGCCCTAGATTTTACCCCATAACGTCACACATTCTTCTCTATCCACCTGCTCCCCTCTGTCCCTTTTGTGTGTCTTTTCATGTTACATTGTAGTACCACAGTGATTTATCTGTATGCAGGGTGTCACCATGCTCTGTCCATAATGCCCTGTGTCTGCCTTTTCAATGTGACCTCTATCATATTACCATCTTCACCTCCTCCCCCACCCCCTCCTGTGTACATTTAGAAAGAAGTTTCTTAGTGGTCTCTCCACTATAATTGTGTTGCTGCTATTGTTACTGTTCTCAGCTGCTGCATTTATTTACTCTTCCTGCATTTCTGTTGTTTGAGAAGCAAATAATCCCTTCAGCTCTGGTTTTCTTTTGTTTTCTTTTCTTCTGGTTTTCTTTCTTAAAATGTTTCAAATGCTTCTTTATTATTAAATGTCTATCTTTTTTTCATTTATTAAGCTTGGATTGTAGGGTAGGTTATCCTGGACTGCATTCTGAGCTCCATTAGTCTTCAGAACACATTATTCCATTCCCTCCTATGTCTTTTGGTGAATCCAGAATAGTACTATGTTATTCAAATTTCCATTTCATTATATTTGAAAGTCCTTCTCTTGACTTGCAGAACTTGTTTCTGAATTGAATTGTTAAATTTAACCACTATGTGTCTAGGAGTTTGCAGCCTTAGATTTTTTTCTGGGAATGATCTGTGAATTCTTTCAATTGGTATTTCATTTTCTGTGCTTAGAAGTTCTGGGCAGTTCTCTTCTATTGCCTCCTTCATTATGGTGTTAAGTTTTTTTTGTCCTGTTGTGTTCTTCTGGGAGATCTATGATCCTTGCATTTTCTTTACAAATCCTGTCTTCCACATCAATATGTTTTGCTTGCATAGTGAGCACATTTTCTTTTAATTTTTTTTTATTGTCGTTCTTTCTCTTTTAAGTTGACCTTCACTTCTGTATATTTGCATTCACAACCTATTGTTCTCTCTTTTGTTTATTTGGTGAAACTTGCCATGTCAGATCCAGTTTTCCTATTCTGGCCATTATTATTGCTCTGCAGACCATGAATTTTGCTCTCATAATTCTCATTTCTCTTTTGAGCCACTCAGGAACAATGTGTTCTTCCATGTTCGCCTGACATTTCTTCAGGTATTGGATCATTTTCCTTTGTTTCGTAGTATTTATTCATGGATGCCTGACCTCATTTACTAAATCCAAAGACTATATTTCCTTTTGCTGTTAATGTTTTCCCTGTTAATTTATCTGCATATATTAAAGGTCTTTGAGTTCTCTTCTTTATGAGATCTTTGATTATATCTATCTCCCATCCTCCTCTCCCCTAATTTTCCTCTATTCACTTTCTCTCCCTCCCCTCTGATGATAGTTTCCTTGGGGGCTGGATCTCATAGTGTTTCAACCTCTTCCCACACTGAGCAATTCACAGTTTGCCAGCCTAGGTCTCTGCCCCAAATGACTTTTGGGTGCTCAGAACTGGCCCCAGCTTGGGGCATCTGGGTGGCGCAGTAGATAGAGCACTGGCCCTGAAGTCAGGAGTACCTACCTTCAAATTCAGCTTCAGACTAAACACTTGACACTTACTAGCTGTGTGACCCTGGGCAAGTCACTTAACCCTAACTGCCTTAAAAAAAAAAGAACTGGCCCCAACTAGATGCTGTGCTCTTTCCCTCAGGGTTAGTGGAGTGCTGCACACAACACCCCTCCCCCCCAATAAATATTGTCCTGTACTGTTGACTTGTCCCACTTTCTCTGTTCCTCAGTTCTCTGGCCCACCATCAGTAGTTCGGAGAGCTGCCCTGATAGAGCCACAGGGACGGCCACAGGGTTGTCCATCCCCCATACCAGCAGTTCAGAATTTTGGAGTGCTAATGCCACAGGGTTGCAGCCCTGGCAAGTTTTCACTCCAGAAGAGCTGTAGGCACTCTGACTGGCTGTCGTGGCCTTAGCAAATTCTGTAACCTGAAGCCAGATTCTCAATAGCACTAGAAAGAGGGAAGGGGGACCATAGTGTTGGGATGGGTTTCATTTTAAGCTTGTGTGTTAGGTCCTTGTGTCTGCTAGGGTAGCATGGGAGGGGGAAAAAGGTTTATAAATAAACTGAGGTTAGTGAGCTTAGTTCATGGCTTTTTTAAAAAATCTTTTGGATTCTGGGTATCTTAGACCATGGAAATAGCTGGTGGCTTTATCTTTGTCTCATAATTTATTTTTTAGAGAGATTGAAGAGGTCATGGAGATCTAAGAAAGTAGATAGTCCTCTGTCTTCTTGTTCATATGACTAAGAAATTTCAGAATTTGCTATTTGTAAAATACTTTGCAAACCTTAAAGCACTATATAAATGCCAGTTATATCAAAAGTATAATAACCAATATATTAATCACATTTAAAAAGCACTTTATAACTTAAAAATCACATGGCTCATAACAACTTAAGGTAAGTAATGCAAATATCATACCCACTAGAATGGCAAAAATAGCACAAAAAGGGGATAAAATTCAGTGATGGCCAACTTAGAAGGAAAAGGGCACACATATCTTTGGTGGTACTGAGGACTGGTGCATGCAATTTGGAGAGCAATATGGCCTTCTACAATAAGAATCAGAAAATCAATCATACCTTTGACTGGTTTGTGTAGATAGAGAAGAAAAAAAAAGAAGCCTATCTGTATAGAAATAATTATAATTGCTTTTTTGTTATAGTAAAAATCTTAAAAATCTATATGCCATAACATTAGGGAATAAATGAATAAATTACAATGTATCAATGCAATTATATATTATAGTGCTGTAAAAATAATTGCAAGGCATATAAGGAATTTGCAAAGACCTATATGGAGAAATATGAAGCAAGAATAACAGAGACAACTACATACACCAATTGCAGCTATATAAAGAACAGAAAGCAGGGCAAGGGTGGGTGGATTTGGAAATGGACTGACAGAGTAAGTATGTCTTTGGCTCGTTGATTCATTTGATTTAACTTTCTTTAATGCTAGGAGTTTATATAGAGTGTTGTTCTAGACTCTATAGATGTATTTTATTGTCTTCATTGATGGTTATTGGGGTTATAATAAAGATGTAAAAGAAAAAATGGAAAGAAAGAGAAAAAGTAAAATCACCAACAAAACAGCCATGGGCTGCCATGGCTTCCTTTTCCCATATCCATTTACTAGAATTGCTATTAAGTAGTGAAAAATAGCCAAAATGTAAGCAGTAAGGGAAGGAATGAGGAAAAAACAATAACAATAGCTGGCATTTATGTAGGTTTGTAAAATGCTTTACAAATATTACCTTGTTTTATCCTCACAACAACAACAACCCTGGGAGGTGGGTACTATTTTTATCCCATTATGCCCATAAGGAAACTGAGGGCAGATAGAAGTTAAATCATTTACCTAGGATCATACAGCTGGTAAGTGTCTGAGACAGTATCTGAACTCAGATTTTCCTAATTCCAGGTCTAGTACTGTGTACTACCTTGCCACATGGATAAAAGCAAAAGATGTGGATATTTGAAAGTTGGATGACATTCCTTGAATAATTTGTAATTGACAATATTGGATCTTTTGATGCTCTTTAAAATAAAAATCAATTAAAAATATTTATTTAATACCTGTTTCATGCAAGGCACTATATTCTCATGATCTTCATACATTTTCTTCATCATGGATTTTTTTAAATGTTTCCAGATATTTCAGTTTTTCTTATTTCTTTTGTTGTTTATTTTTCTCCTTTCAAGTTCCTCAATTATTCTCCCTTTGCTATTTCATATAAGGTCAAAGATCTTTGATTTAAAGTTGGAAGAGATTATAAAGTCCAACTATAGTTTCTTTTCTTTAAAAATGTATGACTATTGATGATGATGATGATGATGATGATGATGATGATGATGATGATAGAATATTGTTTTTGTAAATCAACCTGGACCTTAGAGATCATCTAGGGCAGAAGTGGGGAACCTGTGGCCTCAAGGCCACATGTGGCTCTCTATATCCTCAAGTGTGGCCCCTTGACTGAATCCAAACTTCACAGAACAAATACTAAGGATCCCCACCTCTGACTAGGCTAACCTTCCCTCCTCCCTCTTAGGAATCCCATCTACAATACCCTTGACAGGTGGTCATCCATTATCCAAGCTCTGCTTAAAAAACTGTTCTTTGATAGCAGCTGCTATCCCCAGAACAGCTAAGGGTAGAATCTGTATTCATATGCATGATTGAATCTTTTAATTCCCATGATGGCAGTGAAAAGTATGAAGTAATAGATTGTTAGAACAGGACTGATCATCCAGTCAAGCCTCTTCATTTGGTAGATGAAGGGACTGAGAGAGGACCATCTCACTGAGACTTTTTTTTAAATGGTCTTTTAAAAATTGTTTTTATTGCATAACATACTAAATCACACTCTTATTTATTTGTTTATCCTAGATATTTGAAGAAAGAAGAATCCTGCTTGGAAAATGGGTAATCCTATAAAATATACATATTTCTGGAGTTTCAGTAAAAATGTAATTAATTATCTTTAATGATAGAATCCGATGCTTCAGCCATGAATTAAAGTAAGACTGAAAAAAGGGTAAGAATGAGGACATTTTTAAAGGAGCGGATCACCTTGAAAGTGTTACATCACTTGCGCAGATCTCTGCACTAGGTTCTCTCTGGAAATCAGTAATGTTGGTGATGAACTCAAATTTTCCATCTTCAAAACTTTGAAATAACCCTGGCTTATGGGAGCTTCTTTGCCTATTCACATAAAAGCAAGAGGCATATCTTTTCTGTCAATGCTTATGGCTGAGAAACAATAACTAATTGCTCATTGGAGTGTCCCAGCCATATCATATACTTCCTATGGGGGAAAACCTAGGATATGGCTGAGCACTCCAATGAGTGGCCCATCTTGCTGCTCAGTTAAGATTCCTAAAGCATAGGCCTGCCCATACCATTCTCCCGCTTAATAAACTCCAGTGGCTCCTAATTACCTCTAGAATAAGATGCAAACACTTTTGTTTGACACTTTAAAGCCCTTCACGATCTGGGTCCAGTTTACCTGTCCAGGTTATTATCCCTTTCAGTATGCCCTTCATATAATATATTCTACAATTCAACTAAACTGGTCTACTTACTTCCAGAACACAACTGCTCCATTTCCCATTTGTGAGCTTTTGCACAAGCTGTCCCTCACCTCAAATGCCCCCCTGCCTCTTACTCTCACTTAGAATCCCCAGCTTCCTTAGAAGCTCCTTTAAAATCTGTACCTTAATTACTACTAGAGGCCCATCCTGATACTCAGTTTCTAGTTCCCGACCTTGTGCTCTTAAATTACTTTGTATCTGTTTTATACTTCTTTATCTTTGTACCTCGTTGCCCCTACCAGCCTGCAAAAGACTGAAAATTCTTTGTGAATAAACATTGCTTAATTTTTCATCTTTGCTCCCCCAATACCTAGCTCAATTTGTACACATAGCAAGTGAATGATAAATGCTTGATGCATGAATGAATCTGTTGATACTAAGATCCCAGGATAAGAATATTTATATAGATTATTTGGGCTTTGTTGTATGATTGATTGTTATTTTTAACTAAGTTGAATTTCCCCTCTTTTGAACCTTAAATTAACTTGACTCTAGTTTCCAAAAGCTTACTGCACAAGTTCACTTATTCAGAATGAGCCATTTGGGTTAAATACCCATTCTGTTAGTTTTCATTTTCAAGGAGAACCTTAAATTGATAAAGAGCAGGGACCCTGTGTTCCCCGACTGGTCAGATAGATCCTATTATTCCCTTTCATGCCATGATGATCAATTTTCTTTAACTAGTATCTGATGTTTTTATACCAGTTATCTACTCATCCTCTTATTTTCTTTTTTACCCACATCAATTCACTCCCATTCATTTATATATATATATATATATATATATATATATATATATATATATATATATATATATACATATATATACATACATACACAAATATAACATATATGTATACCGCCATATACATTAACGTGTATAGATTGTTTTAAAAAATGTTTTCTATTTACTTTGTGCTATACTTCTTTCTCTTTCAAGAGTGTGTGTATTCTTCAGAACTTCAAGGATCAGCAAATTCATCTACATGGGTTCTCCCTCCACACATGCAGATTGCAGCTCCTCTGTAACTTAATAGACTTCCAGAATTGCTAGAGTTGAAATGTTTGTCTCCTTGCAACTAGTGATGGGCTTCTCCACTTAGCTAGGCTGGGTTTAGGTAGACTGATCCTTAGACAGATATAGAGTCTATTCCCTGTCCCATATCTGAAGCTCTTTCAACTGAGGTAGTTTTGTTTAGCCTTCAAGAACTCAGGTTAATCTCACTGCCAAATGAGATATTGGAATAAGACTGTAGTTCTAAACATACATGGTGTTTACATGCAATGTGGTACAGCAGCAAGAAGGCTGAATTTAGATTCAGGGGATCCGGGTTCAAATCCTGATTTTGATGCTCACTGCCTACAGGATACTGAACTGGTTTCTAGCTCTCAGTTTCCTCATCTATAAAATGATAGGACTGGATCAGAAGACTTCTAAAGAACTTTCTAGTTCTAGAACTATGATCCTCTAACTTTGAGAGTAATTTAGGTTAGAAGACGTTAATTATAGATCATGGTTTCATTCAACATCCATTCATTATTGATTTATTTAACATTCATGATTTATCATATTTAATATCTATCCTATTTAACGTATCAATTTAATCTATAACAGTTAATATAGTTAATATTTAACATCTATGATATTTTATGTTATAGTTAATACCTATCATAGTTAATATAATTTTATTTAATAGAATTTATTCACAGTTTATCATATTTAATCTATTTTAATTAATTGTAGCATAGAAAAATGTATAGTGGGGTAGTAGAAGTCAGGACATCTGAGTCCTAGTTCTGTTTCAGCCATTAACTTGCTGTGTGGCCTTGGGCAAGTTATTGACCAATTCATTTGTAAAATGTTATTGGAGGCACAGCGATAGAGCGCTGGGCCTAGAGTCATGCAGTCATCTTCCTGAGTTCAAATCTGACCTCAGACACTTATTAGCTATGTGACCCTGGGCAAGTTACTTAACCATGTTTGCCTCAGTTTCCTCACCTATAAAATGAGTTGGAGAAGGAATGGCAAACCACTCCAGTATCTTTGCCAAGAGACCCCCAAATGGAGTCATGAAGAGTCAGGAAGGAAACAACTGAGCAATAACAACAACAATCCTAATCTGTTCTCAACCAAATGATTTGTTTAATTTACTGATAGCTGCTATCTTCTTAAAGAATATTAGCAAGTCAAAACAGTTTTTGAGCCAGGGAAAGTGATAACCACACTTATTTATTTTTATTCCCAAAGCTAATTATTTTAAGCATTAGTTTTATCTGCTAAGAGCTCCTGATAAGGGAAATCAAAATATACCTTTAGATAGTGAAGTGAGGGCTTAGGAAGAGGGTGCCAATATTTTATCTTGATGGCTATTTCCTGGTTGACACCTGCACTTTATAGATAGCTTCCCACCTTAAGAGGGAGGAATTAAGACAGATTCTCAGATGATAGAGACAAAAATAAGAGAAAATAAGCCTTGTTAAAGGCCAGCCTTAACCAAGTACAAGTTTGCAGCAGACCAAGTTTATCTTTGGAGTGGTAGAAGGTCCACTCTCCGCTGACTTTCTGTTCACCCTGCATTTCCATCACCTTGAGCCTGCTTTCCTGGGGCCTTACGTTATTCTCTAGACTCCCCAGCCCAGCGTGACTACTGGTGTCTGCTTTTGTCTCCCAGATCCTTCCCATTTCCCCTTCGCTAAATTGTATGAGCTGTCTGCTGCTTTGATATGAAGTATACCCGCTCTATCACATGTGAGCCAAGCTCTCCATGTTAAATGGAGAAGGAATAGGCTTACAATCTATGTACTCCTCTCAGGTAATAGTTTAACACTGCCCTTCCGGAGATAATCCTTACTTCTCTGTTGAATACTCTTACGGCATGACCAAGTAGTAATAATAGCTGGCATTTTAAGGGCTTTCAATATGTTATTTCATTTGATCTTCACAACCCGTGAGATAGGTGCCATTATTATCCCATCGTACAGATGAGGAAACAGGTTGACAAAAATTAACTTTCTCAAGGTCACACAGCTAGTGTGTGAGACAGATCTGAACTCGGAACTTGCTAAGCCCAATATTCTATCCACTGTACTATCTAGCTGGCTCTGATAGCAGTAGGAGGAACTAGAGGGGTGGAGAAAATCTGAGGATGGGCAGAGTCTTTTCATGTATCCCCAATCACAATGTGTGACTGGCTGCCTTCTTTACCTGTGCCCAAAGTCTGTTTTAGGGCAGCTCAGAGATTTAAAAATAAAGTGAACTTCTGGAGCACTTGTGAGTCGTAGTCCTAGAATGTGGAGCTGGAAAGAACTTTAAATATAATTAAGTTCAATCTCTTCATTTTATACACGACGAAACAGGCCTGGAGAGAGGAAGCACAAGGTCACACAGGTGGTAAGTAGTCCAGTCAGGATTCAAACCTAGTTCCTCTGATTCCAAATGCAGTGTGCCTTTCTGTCTGTGGCACTAAAACCAGTGAAGTCTTGGGCTCCTTTCTGGAGATCACTCTACTTTTCTGGATTTGACCCACCCACTGGGAAATCTGAAAAATGTCCTCTACCCCATTAATGTGGCTGCAGAGAGGATTCCCTCCCTGGGGGAAGGGAAAGGAGGTAAGAGTGTAATTGAAGCCTTTTATTAAGGTCCCTTTCAGCTCTGAGATTCTAAGTTTCTAGAATCCTATCATCTCTGCTCTGTAGGTAGCAATGAAAGAGGTTTATGGGTCCAGCTTCGACTCCATCTCTGTCATTCTCAGTGGTCACGGAGTAATCTGCTGCTTCTTCATCTTAAGGAGGGCATTAGGAGCACTGGTGACCAAGAGGGAAGGGAGGGAGAATGATAAGAGAAGAAAGGCAGAAGGCAGCTTTTGAAGCCCTTCATACTCTGGCTCCTGACTGCCTTTCCAGGCTTATTTTATATTACTTCTCTTCATACATTGTGCAGTCCAGTCAAACTGGCCAATTTCATCTCCCCCCTTTGCAGAGCCTAGAATGCACTTTCCTCAGTGGGTGCTTTCTCCTCAAGTGATCAAGAATACACTTCTCTGTTTACATGTTGTATCCCCCATCCCCCACCTCATCCCAGTAGAATATAAATTCCTAGAGGGCAGGGATTGTTTTTTGTCATTTTGTCTTTGTGCCCCCTAATTCTAGCACCTGGCACAATGTCTTGCCCATTTTTTTGTGAAGGATTTTTGGTGATGGAGAAAGGTCTAGACCTGTGATTTTGTTGGTGTGGACAATTCCCAGTGAGGGACTCCCTCTACCAAAGCATATGGTTAACTCTTCTGCGTTTTATAGTCTTAGTAGGTTGCCTAAGGGTACTGAGAGGTAAAGTTACTTGCCCACGGTCACCCAGCCATTGAGTGTCAAAAGCTAGACTTGAACCCAAATTTTTCTGACAGAGGCTTGCTCTCTATCTAAGCAACAGTGCCTCTCACCTTGCTCATGGACAGTGCTCAGTAAAAGCTTGAGAGAGGCAAGGAGGTCGCACAATTTGTAGATGCTCACTGTCCCAGTAAACAAATTTTTAAAAAAACAACAGAAATGCTGCTATTGCTGCCTATGACATTGCTTGGTGCCCTTTCCCTGGAGCCCCCATCTTTAACATTTTGGAGCATTCCCCAGGGGCACTCACAATCCAAAACAAAAGGTATCATTTTTTTGTTTTTTGGTTTGGTGGGTTTTTTTTTAAGAGAACAGAAGGAATGCCAAAAAGAAGCACAGACAAGCAGGATAGCTTTGAAAGCTTCTGGTTGAATTTATGACATACTTACGAAGAAAAGTAAAGTATACATAACAGTGTTCTGCAATTTTAATCTTTTTCCCTTTTTCTGTGTGTATGGAAGCACATATTTTATGTGGTATCAAATTCAAAATAGAAAATAAATTTAAAAGAAACCTGTAACAGGTCACATTTATGTAATACTTTAAAGTTTTACAAAGTACTTTCCTCATAACCCTGCATGATTCAGGAGAAAGAACAATGAACTTGGAAGTTATGGGATAAGTTTTTTGTTTTGTTTTGTTTTGTGTTTTTGGCAATTGGGGCTAAGTGACATACCCAGGGTCACACAGCTAGTAAGCATCAAATGCTTGGTCTGAGGTCAGATTTGAACTCAGGTCCTCCTGACTTCAGGGCTGGTGCTGTGGGATAAGTTTTGAATGCTGTACCTGCCACTCACTGTGTGACCTTGAGCAAGTCACTTACTGAACCAATTATCAAGAAATTATTAAGTACCTATGAAGTGCCAGGTACTGTGGTAGGCACTGGAGATACAAAGAGAAAAAATGAAATAGTTCCTTTCCTCAAAGAGGCTACATTCTATTACGGTCAACAACATAATTCCATACAAAATAAAAACAAGGTGATTTTTGTTGTTGTTGTGGGTGAGGAAACACTAGAAGCTGAGAGTATCAGGAAAGGGCCGAAGCAAGAGGTGGGAGTGAACTAAGCTTTGAAGAAAGTGTAGTATTCTAAGAGGTAAAAGTGAGGAGAGAGTGCATTCCAGGCACTGCATATGGCTTAACACATATAGGAGATTTGCATCAGTTTCCCCAGCTGTAAAATGAGGGGAGTTAGACTAGATGATCCCTAAGACCCCTTACTGCTCTAGACCTGATATCCTAAGCATTATTATTCCCATTTTACATATGAGGAAAATGAAATTAAGAGGTCAAGTGCCCAGGATCAGAACTCCAACTTACTTGATTCTTACCTTCGATGAGCAAGATTGACAATAGGGTCTTCTTTAGGCAAAACTGTGAAATAAGCAAACTTTATCCTCCTCATCTATTAGTTCCTTCGCTTCTTCTTCCCTTTTCCTTCCTATTGGGTACCTGGTACCCGTTAGGTACTTTTGCTCGCCTCTCTATGGAACCTGCTCTCTCTAAAAGGAGCTAATAGTCTTTTATATTTCCCTGTGACTCTAACTCAGTATGGTTACCCTTTGGTATAATCATACTTAAAGCTTTGTTTTCTAAACGTGGCATCAAAGGCTTTGTCCCTCATTCAAAAATTTTTTAAATATGTGAGCAGCTGAAAAAGCTTTTGTTTTCCTATTGTGAGGATGTGTGTAAGTGGGGGGGGCAGGGAGGGAGGAGGGAGGGGGGAAGGGAGGGGGTTCATTATAAGAGACCCTTCTCTTGAAATCATCCCTCATAAGTGTGTGCCATATTTACTGTGTAAGGCTGGCCCTGACTGGCAGATCTTGGGCAACTGCCAGCTGTGAGCTCAAGAGAAGAAGCCATCTATACTCAGAGATTCATTTACCCAAATTCGTACAAACAAGGTGGGACTAGGTGGGAAAGTGAGCAGAGAGTGAAGAGAACACAAGAAGCTAATGGAAAGGTCAGTTAGCAAATGGAATTTTTACACTCCAGACTCTTACTTCCCTCGCCCATTAATGAATCTCTAGAGTCATATTAAATCTGTAGCTGATTTGGTTTTCTTTGTTGGTGCTGGTTTTTTTCTCTTTCAGTTTGACAAGTGGACAGATGCTCAGAGGAGAAGAATCTTGACAGGCTTGTTTGAGCAGTGCTCTCTGTCACAGCAGAAGTTCTGTAGTCGACAACTTCAGGAAAGAATTCCAGCAGAAGCAGTAGATTTCACGACCAAGCTCCCCAGGGTGTTGTCTCTGTACATCTTTTCTTTTCTAGACCCCCGAAGTCTCTGTCGATGTGCACAGGTAAAGCAAATAAGCAACACTGAGCACTTTGGGGAAAAGGCCCTATAAAAACATCATAAATAAAAGATGTTTTAATAAAATCAAGTTGTAAATCCATTGGCATGGCTAGGTGGCACAGTAGTTAGAGCTCTAGACTTGGAGACAGGAAGACCTGAATTCAAATTTGCTCTTAGATATTTTCTAGTTCTGTGACCCTGGGAAAGTCTTTCTTTATCTTTAAAAATGGAACAGCTAAGTGCTACCATGGATAGAGTGCTGGTTCTGGAGTCAGGAAGACTCATCTTCCTGAGTTCAAATATGGCCTCAGACACTTACTAGCTATGTGATCATGAGGAAGTCACGTAACCATGTCTGCCTAAGTTTCCTCATCTGTAAAATGACCTGAAGAAGGAAATGACAAACCATGCCAGTATTCTTGCCAAGGAAAACTCCAAACAGGGTTACAGAGACTCGGACACAACAGAAACAAATGAAAAACAACAAAAATAGGGATAATAGTAGTACCTACCTCCTAGGGTTGTTGTGAAGGTAAAATACCATAATATTTGTAAATCATTTCACAAAGTTTAACGTTCTATAAAATACTATTATCTATGTAGTTTCCATTAATTCTCAAATTCTTCACCCTGGGACTTGTTCTTTTATGGGCAAGAGTTGTACCCTCAAATATCTTAAAACATTAGACTGGATAAAGCATTTTTAAAGTAGCAAAGGGACCCTGAGAGTGAACTAAAAAACCAAAATACTACCTCTAATTTTATAATTTTTATAAATTCTGCAGTCTTTCATCTACCTGTTCCCCAAACATCTAAACAGTGGTTCATACTATAATCTGGGGTAGAAACTCCTTCCTACTGATGCCGTTCCTGATCCAACTAAATAAATAAAAGTGAATATACAACTGCATATACAACCACCTTCCCACCCTAAAAGTTTCTCAGTCTCTATGATTTCTACTCCATATTTCTTCCCTCCATGTTGTCTTTGGCTTACCCTTCTCACCATGGTATAAAAATAGAGGGATCTTCACAACAGAACTGGTTTACGTCTCCCTAAGTGTCTCCAAGGTCACATCACACACTCTCAAGACAGGCCAGTGGAAACTTTCAGCAATACTCCTATGTCTTCATACCATTTGATGTGACAAAGGCTTACTCTGGATTGGATGGATCCATAATCTCATCGCATATGGATAATTGTTCCATTGGTGCAGATTACATCATATCCATGCCTTACTGTTCTGTATTTTTCTTCTCTATGCTTTTCCTTAAATACTCCAAAAAGGAGTCACTCCATAAACTTTAGACTTTCCTAATTCTTTAGATCTTTTAATGTTTCATAGAGTACCAGCAAAGTACTTGCACTGTCCATCTGTTACCTCTTTTTCTCAGGATGTGACTAGTTCACCCCTTTCCTTGTCACTCATGCCCTCAATTGATTTGTATATCCTTTCTTGTGTGTCTGCCATTGATGCTAAGATCTGTAGTTTATTTATACCCTTTATTTATATTTATTTTATGTATATATAAATGTATTTTAATATTTATTTATACCATCACACGTTTTTCCATTGCCCTTCAGGTCCCTGGAATTTTGAACCTTCTTAGATTTTAGCGTTCCATGTTTCACAGCTATCTAGCAACCCAGGAGAATATTAATGTGAAAAAGATGGGCCTTTGTGGCACAGAGTACCTTGGATTTATTGAAAGAATTGTGTAACTTCCTGAATGTCATCTAACCTGACCTTCTGATATTCAATTCTGGGACCAGTTCATTGTCCTCTAACTGCATTTCATAACCTAGGCAATATTAATCCAATCAATTCACAGGATGATAGATTTAGAGCTGAAAGGGGCCTCAGAAATGATCAAATCCAGGCCCTTCATTTTATAGCTGAGGAAACTGAAGCCCAAAGGTTGTGATTTGTCCAGAGTCACACAGATACTAGCTGCGTGAGGTAAGACTAGAACCCCAGATCTTTTCTGATTCCAAGTCTAGCAGTCTATCCACTATACTGGGTTGCATCTCCAATCAACAAGAATTTATTCAAGGGGCAGCTATGTGGCGCAGTGGATAGATACTTCAGCCTTGGAGTCAGGAGGACCTGAGTTCAAATGTGACCTCAGACACTTGATACTTACTAGCTATGTTACCCTGAGCAAGTCACTTAACCCCATTGCCTAGGCCCCCCCCAAAAAAAAATTTATTCAATCTTTATCATGTGCCAAGCACTGCCCTAAGCACTGAGCTTACAAAAAAAAAAAAAAGCAAAATAGCTTCTGCTGTCAAGGAATTTATATGCTAATGAGGGGAAGCCAAGTATATAAATGGGTATATGTGAGCGATGTACAGAGAAGATAGAAATATTAGCTGCTGAGGGATCTGGGAAAGACCTCTCATAGGATTTAGCATTTCAAATGTGTCTTAAAAGAAGCCAGAGATTTTAAGAGGCCTAGGTAAAGAGGGAGACATTCTAGATTTGAGAGGCAACCAATACAAGGGAATGGAGTCAAGAAATAGAGCACCTTGGGCAAGGAACAGCAAATAGGCCAAGATGACTAGAACTTGGTGTAGTCAGAGAGAAGAAAGTGTCTATGGCCCCTTTCTCAGAACAGTGTTTTGAAGTGCATAAAATAAAATACGTAGGGTTACAAAGGAAGCCAATTATATTGAAAGGCTGCTATCAAAGTATTTCTTTAAAAAAGCAAATTTACAGATCCCAGGTTAAGAGCTCCTGATCTAGATCTTTTTTTGCCACTGTCCTGCTATGTGGCACTGCTTTTAGCAATAGATTTCAATATCTCAGCATCCACAGGAGCTGTTATTATGAACGTTTCTGATCTAGGTAACTATAGATTTCTGTTTTATCATAACATCACCATTTAGTACAACTTTTTAATTTTATAGATATAGAAATTGAGATCCAAAGAATTTTTATTCTTTGTCTAAGCTCATGCAGGTAGCTTTTCTGGCTCCAAATATAGCCTTCTGTCTATCATAACTGTGTAGCAATTTATCAATCAGTTGAGTGTTTACCTAGTCTCTGTTGTGCATGTGTCTAGTACTTTGGTAGGCACTCTGGGGTACGAGAGAAGACAAAGTGATGGCTATAGTTGAAAAGAGTGTTTCACCAAGAATGAAGAGACCTGGGTCCTTATTCAGGCTCTTCCAGAAACAGCAGTGCCATAATGGGCAAATTCCTTGACCTGGGTCTAAATCAATCAAGAATAATGCTTCATGTTTGTATAGAGTTTTGCAGTTTACAAAATGTCATCCCATACATAATTTCACTTGATCCCCTCCCCATAAAAACCCTATGAGGTACGCAGGAGAGATAGTTATCAGGTTAGGAAACTGAGATTCTGAGACATCAAGTGACTTCCCCAAGTTACATAGATAGTAATGATAACTTGTCTTTGTATGGTACATTGCAATTCACAAAATGCTTTCCTCACAACATTCTTATTTGGTGGATGTCTAATTATCCCCAGTTTACAAATGAGGAAACTGAGGTTTAAAAGGTTATACAACTAGGAAGTGGCAAAACCAGAACTCAAGTTGAGGGGTAGTGATACCTTATTTCAATGTTCTTTCCATCGTACCATGCAAGTCTCTCTGGTTGTGGAGCCAGGACTCAAACTGAGGGACTCTTGTCTCCCAAGTCCAATGCTCCTTGCAGTCCCTAATTTCTATGAGGACGTGGTTTCTACCCACAGAGTCAGCAGCCTGGTTGCATAGATGGACATGAACATATAAGCCAGTGAACAAAAAATTCTATAGAATAACATATGTTACAATAAATTACTGCATTGCATCACATAGTTAGGCAAAGTCAATCAGTCAATAAGCATTTATGAAGTTCCTATGTGCTAGGCAATTATGCTAAGCACTTGGGATACAAAGAAAGACAAGAGACGGTCCCTGCTCTCAAGATGTTAACAGTCAAATGTGAAAATATGTATAATATGAATGTATATGTATAGCCTATATCAGATTGCATGCCATCTTGGGGAGGGGGAAAGAGAGAGAGGAAGAGAAATTTTAGAACTCAAAATCTTATGGAAGTGAATGTTGAAAACTAAAAATAAATAAATATACATGTATTTTTAAAAAGATGTTCACAGTCTAATGGAAAAGTTCAAGGCAATGCAGGCATACCTCATTTTATTGCGTGCACTTCACAAATATTGCCTTTTGGGTTTTTTGTTTTTTTTTTTTACAAATAGAAGGTTTGTGGCAACCCCGTATTGAGCAAGTCTGTTGGCGCCATTTTCCAATAGCGTGTTCTCACGTAGTGTCTCTGCGTCATGTTTTGGTAATTCTCTCAATATTTCAAACTTTTCATTATTATTTTGTCTGTTGTGGTGATCTGTGATCTGTGATCTTTGATGTTGCTATTATAATTGTTTTTGGGGGCCACAAACCATGTCCATATAAAATGGTGAACTTAATTGATAAATGTTGTGTGTGTTCTGATTACTTCATCAGCAATTGGTTCCCTGTGTCTCTCCCTTTCCTCAGGCCCCCCTATTTCCTAAGACACAACAATACTGAAATTAAGCCAATTAATAACCCAACGATGGCCTCTAAATGTTCAAGTGAAAGGAAGAGTCAATCGATAAGGCAAACTTCATTGTCTTATTTTAAGAAACTGCCACAGCCACCCCAGCTTTCAACAACTACTGCCCTAATCAGTCAGCAACCATCACCATGGAGGCAAGACCCTCCACCAGCAAAAAGATTATGACTCATTTAAGGCTCAGATGATGATTAGCATTTTTAGCAATAAAGTATTTTTAAATTAAGTAAATTAAAATTAAATTTAAATAATTTAAATTTTTGAATTTTAAATTATTCTTAAAATAATTTTTTAAATTTAAATTTTTAAATATTTAAAATAATTTTTTTTCAGATATAGTATTACTACGCACTTAATAGACTACAGTATAGTGTAACCATAACATATATGTACTAGGAAACCAAAAAATTCATATGACTTG